CATGGTAACAGAGCTGTAACCTGGCATAATACCATGGTAACAGAGCTGTAACCTGGCATAATACCATGGTAACAGAGCTGTAACCTGGCATAATACCATGGTAACAGGGCTGTAACCTGGCATCATACATTTTTTAAAAATCAGAAAAAAGGTCGATGGCTTTGGAGATAGAGACACACTTTTGAGTCCACAAACACAGAAAAGTCACAACAACAGAAATGGACAGCCTCTGATCTGGCCTGATCTGTGGTTACTGACTGCAGCTTGATACTCTCTTTGGAATAAAAAAAATAGTTTTCAAACACGCGCTCATGGGACACAACACAGTACTGACATTTTCCTTTGGTTGCCTTGATTAATTTGACTTTGTTCCTCCTTCCAGACCCTTGCACAGAACAAAAGGCTTTGTTATACTGATATTTTGTACTGTCCTCGGACTACTCATGACCACCTATGGCCCGAACTCAATCAGGTAATTGTGTGTTTCTTCTATTTTTATTGTCAGTAGCCATAGTGTCATTTTCCTTTAAACAGGAGCTCTCTGTTTCCTTTTTGCAAAAATGAAACAACAAACAGCAAAAAGTGACGCTATTGTGAATGAATATGTCTTTGAAAGCCGGATTCTGTTCTCACAACTGCTGAGGCAAGATGATATGATCATCTGAAAATTAACAATATATCCCTAATCATAAACTAGTGGCCACATATTGATATATTCGAAAAACAATATGCATAAGTATAGCACTAAGATGACCCTTATTGTGAGAGTAATCCACAATATTTTTTCTACTTTTTTTTTTTTTTTTGTTGAAAAAGTGCTCGTCTCTGATGATTGGCTGCATTGCCTTGAAATGAACAATGAATGTATTGGCTTTATAAAACACTTTAACTGAAATATATATATAATATATGAATATATATGAATCTCCAATTCATGCAGTTACCATTTTTGTCATTTTTTTATTATTTAAGTTTTTTTTTTAATTTAAATTTTTTTTTAATCTTCTCTTCCTTTTGAAGAGAAGATTAACCCAACTTCAGACCTGGTAACGGGTGTCTACTTTGTTCAGTGATTCAGATAAGTTTTCATATAAGGAACATTGTAGTAAATTGTGCAATCGTCTAGCACCTCCATTTTGGTGCATTGTAAATCATGATAAGAGAGAACATTAATGCAAGCAAGTTAAGTCAAATATGGCTTTATTATTACATCAGTCTTGTTTAGTACACTGATACAAAATGTTGACATGAAATAACATCGCAAATTAAAAGCAAGTGATTTAAAGAAAAAACGGATATTACTGGATATGACCTATGACCTATGCACACTGAAAGCAATATGGTTTGTGAGCCACCCGCTGTCATTTATAAGGATATTGTTAATTTTATGGTTTTTCAAACATCATTTCGTGACACTAAAGGAAAAGAGAGAACTGCTCATCTCAGGTTAACAAGCACACCACAGGAAACCTGACACCAGTGTAATTAGGGGACTGGGTGAAGACAGGAATACCGTCCTGTGAAACAAAAAGAGACACCTTTGTTTAAAACTATGCAACATGTGTGTAATTCTGCAAAACAGGGAGATGCGTTCTGTAAAACTGCCCCTCATCGTGAAGGGTATGCAGGTTTAATAAACTATTTTAACTTCCGTGTTTTTGGCAGGTTCTTGGAAGGATTGATCCCTATGGATGTGTGTCCATTACCTTATGGCAGGAAACTCTGGGATGGAACAGACGGCTTTCTGGATCTCTGGTGAGCTGGTTTACTTGGTCCACGGTCTCCTGACACTGTGGCCTGTTGTTGTTTACATCTGCCTCTCCTGTGCTACCACTGGTGTGCAGAAACTGTAAATTTCTTGTGAATGAACTTGGCATATTCAGAGTGCAGTGCTCAACTAATTTGTGTCCAGTGACAATACCCAAGCTAAGCACTGTCCTGTAACCCATCCTGCCCTGAGTGTAGGCCGTGTATTGATACAGGTGATGAATGGCCACTCCTGTGTGTATGCAGATGTCTGCTCCAATGTCTGTCCTTTAAATTTTAAGCAGACGGAAATCCCCTCTTCTTCTTTGTGAAGGGAGGGTGGTAGAAATACCAGTTAGTTAAATAGTAATTGGACCAGTTTGACGAGGTGGTGTTCTACAATGACAGCTTGTTTTAAAAAAATGGCCCTAAAAGTAATATGATCTGAATAGCAGCACCTGTAGTAGGAGGGACTAAAGTGCACTGCGAGTGACCTAAGCGAGGTTCCAGGCCCCAACAAGCATTAAAAGGTCTTCAGAAACACAAAAATTTGGCATTAAATGAAGGTCATTCTGCCGCTTCTCATCTCAGATACATCCAGTATGAGCTCCACCTAGGATTTTGGAATAATAGATTACTGCTCTATACATGATGTATTACCTACGCATAATGCAATAACAAATACCTTATCAAGACTTATAAGGTAATAAACTGCTGAAAATATAATATGTGCAAAAATGTTACTATGGATGAGGATATAACATAAAGTTTTTACATTTTGAGTTATTACATTTATACTGTTGCATTTTTTGTGGTAAATGTATTTTCTCCAACTGAAGCATTACTCAGTTGTGACATCAGTTGTGGCTTGGGGGGGGGGGGCGATGCGGAGAGCCATTCGTGACAGGTCTGGAGTGTGGCAGGACGAAGGCCGTCTCTCTTCCGGCCACAAAACTCACGTACTCGACATAAATGGTGCAATAACATGTGCAGATGCACAGCAGCCAGTCAGCTCGCTTTCTCTCCTGGAAACTAGATTTGTTAAAACCACACAAACACAGGTGCCATGTGCCCTGACAATTAAACCCCCGAGGGGAGTTGGAGCTCTGGCAGACTTTAACCCTGAAACCAGTAAGGAGATCGTAGTGTCAGACTGTATATCCACACCAGGCATCGATAGCTAAACATGGCTGACAGCCCTCTCAGATGCATGGATTCATTCAGTTGGCGCTCATTTGAATCACAGCAGCTACAATGTGTGTCCCTCCCCTTCAGGGCCAGAACGGATGTCCAGACGTGCACGTACTGGGGTGCCCCGATAATTTGGGAAGGGATGTTTGACCCCAGCGTGTTTGACCAGCTGCACAAGGAGAAGAGCACCAGAGTGGCACTGACCGTGTTCGCAGTGGGAAGGTGTGTTCTGTTGCAATCCTTTTGTGTAAAGTCATGCTGTGGAAACACATGAGTGACACCTCAGCCTGTTAGTGCTGCTGGAGGAAGTAGTGATGGATTTTGTCAAATCGTTTTTTTGCTCTTATCAACTGAGACATTCTGTTCGGTGGAGTGGAAAAGCCAGAACAATATAAGACAGGATATTGTTATTCTATGTATACAAAGATATTTTGTGTGGCAACTTGCAGACAGAAAACAGCAGTAGATATGAAGAGGCATATACAGACGTTCCAGAAGATTCGGCTGATCGTAACTTGAAATGTTTGTAAATCGTCATTCAACATCATTTTAAGGGTATATGCAAGTACTACAAAGAAGTAGGATGCCGGGAGTACGCACGCTACGCTGCTGCGCCGCGGGAGTAGCGGCCAGAAGTCGTACTAGGCGGAATTGGCGCGCAGAAAGAAAAATTGATATTGCGGACAGGAAACGGGAGCCCAAGGAACACAATTTGGACTTACAGTCCTCTTCGTTTGAATGTCTGAAAGTTCGTAAGTTGAAAGTTCGTAAGTTG